TACTATGTGCCAGGGCTGTACGTATCTAAAAAAGTGCGTAGCCAATAATGTTACAGTAACTGCCCCCCTCTAGGCTTTGTCATGACTTCTATTATTCATACCACTGTTAGACGTGTCGTAATCATGTGTGAACAGTAAATATAGCCAAAGAAGTCTCCTAACAATTCCAGGTTTCCACTAGGTTAGACCAAGGAAATATTTAATTACTTGTATGTTATTCATGTTTGAGTTACTGGGCAATCCCATCGCAATGAGGCTGGACCTTACCGTGGTGCGATGGTTTGTGTGCCTCAGCGATCCATTGAGCTACGCTGGGTGGTGCTTTTGCACCTTCAGAGTCACTCATACCAGATTGGTCAATGGTTAGAGGCCAGACAAACTCAGCCTCCTGGTCCTCCAGGTTGGGGGTTGGAATGAGGGTGGCTCCTTATTCCTTATAATGGACTCCTTGTAGGCCCAACGCCAAACCCGCTGCCTTGCGGTCAGGTTTTTGAACCAAAGGCTTTGGTTGAGAACCCTAATCGTTCTCCTGTTTAGGCCTGGGCAACCTGACAGTATCCTGCCCACGCAATACTATGAATTTTCCTTCAAACAATTTCTTGATGCTCTGGCCACCGCAGAGGATAATAAACGGTGCCCTATCTGCTGCATCGAGCAGGGTGGATAGGGGTTTGGATGCTACTGTTTAAGCCTTCCCGTCTTCTTATTCCCCCTCTTACGCTTTTTCACTCTTACCGTCCCATTCCAACTTCACTTATATCCCCCCAGTTTTCAACCCCCCGATTCTTGGCCCTCCCTCAACATGCTTTGCTAGGCATTTACCTTCTAATTTCAGCTCACACGTGAACGCGGAGCGTCACTCCTCTCCTGTCGACAAGCCCATGTCCAACCAAGCGGTCCAATTCAGTTCATCGGCTTCCATTTGGAGCCCTCGATCCTCCTTCAGATTGGCGTGCCTCAATGTACGCACACTGCTACAAATCGGTCAACAGGCAGCACTTGCCCGAACATTGGAGACCCTCTCGATCGATATCTGCTGCTTATCAGAGACTCGCCTGCAAGACTCGAGCACTGTGCTCACTCTGCGATCCCCTTCAGGGGACGCAAGCAGTATTTTCTCCTTGCGCCTATCCGGTGACGATGCAGCTTCGAGCACCGGCCAAGCCGGTGTTGGTATTGCCCTGAGTCCCCGGGCTGAAGCTGCTCTGGTTGATTGGATTCCAATCAGTAGCCGGATGTGTGCGCTCCGATTGGCTGGCTCGTTCAAAGCTTCGAAGTCACGTGGGACCAACAGGTGTCTATTCATCATCGCTGCCTATGCGCCCACAAACTGTAGCGATGATTCGGTAAAGAACGACTTCTACCGCCAACTGAACGAACTCCTTCGCTACAGAAGAAGCACGGACACTGTTGTGCTGGCGGGGGATATGAACGCACAAGTTGGAAAGTTGTCCACTGATGAACTGCATCTGGGCGGTCAACACGGTGTAGGCTCCCGTAATGATAACGGTGAGCGGTTACTTCATTTGTGTGAAGATGCTTGCTTATTTCTTGCGAGCACTAATTTCCGACACAGCACCCGCAGGAGGGTGACTTGGCGCCCACCAACCTCGAACCAGCCTTGCACGCAGATCGATCACATTGCGATAAGTTACCGCTGGAGAGGCTGCATCCAGAATTGTCGCTCGATTTGGAGCACATGTGTGGACACCGATCATGCACTTGTATGTGCTGACATGCGGATGCGTTTTGGCGGACGCCCACGACGACGCTGTGAGCGTATTGACACCAGCCAACTGACAAAACCAGCTGTTCTGAATGCGTATCGAAGTACGCTAACATGCGATTTCAGCAAGCGCTCACAGGAGACAATTGATGGTCACTGGTCACATGTTCGCCAGACCTTACTAGCAGCAGGCGAATCCTCATGTGGTATGTCTAATAGCCAACATGGACATTGGGTCTCTTCGCAGTCTCTGGAACTTATAGATGCTCGCCGGCAAATCCCGGCTGCAAGCGAGCACAATGAAACTCGCAAAGAGCTCCGGGCAAAACTCCGTGCTAGCCTGAAGAGAGACCGCGAATCTTCGTGGTCTCATCGTGCGTCAGAGATGGAAGTGGCCGCTGTCCTTGGCAACCATCGTAAGTTATTCCGTCTGATACGGGAAACGGGCAGCAGGAGACCTGGTGTTAGTGAAACTATACGTGACGAGAGTGGACAGCCTATCCACAATTTGTCAAAACGTCTGAAGCGTTGGGCTGAGCATTTTGAAAAGCAATTTAATCGGCAAGAATTGTTCTATTCGCTGGTCACTGATCGCCCCGCTCCGTGGGCTGTCCCTTTGGATCCACCCTCTCGCTCAGAAGTCGAACGTGAGATCGGACTGTTGAAGTTGAACAAAGCCGCGGGACCAGATGATCTTCACCCAGCCCTCATCAAATTCGGAGGCTCTGCTCTTGTTGATGCTTTGCATGATTTACTAGTGAAACTGTGGGAGCAGGAAACTGTAACAACCGACTGGAGCCGCTCCGTTATTGTTCCCATCTTCAAAGGCGGCTCGCGCTCGGAATGCGGCAACCATAGAGGAATCAGTCTGATCTCCATCGCCTCCAAATCACTCGCGTCCATAATTCTCCACAGACTGACTAGCGCTCGTGAAAGCCAGATTCGTGAGGAGCAAGCCGGGTTTCGTCGGGGTCGTGGCTGCATCGACCACATCTTCACCTTGCGTCAGTTGTTGGAGCACCGTCACACACTGGCGACCCACCGTAGTCGTGTTCCTCGACATCAAAGGTGCCTTCGATTCGGTTGATCGATGTGCCCTTTGGAATTGTCTACTCAGGAAAGGTGTGCCCGAGAAATATGTAAATATTATCCAAGCATTATATGCGCGTAGCACGGGCAGAGTGAGGGCTTACAGCAGGCTGTCGCCACCCTTCAATATCTCCAGCGGTGTGAGACAAGGATGCCCGCTGTCACCTTTCCTATTCAACTTCGCTATTGACGAAGTCATGGAGATTGCATTTACAGGACATGACTTGGAAGGTGTGGAGCTACTCCTAGGAGAACGACTCCTTGACTTAGAGTATGCAGACGACATTGCCCTCATCTGTGACAGCTCCCAGACGTGCCAAGCCGCTCTGGACAGATTAGCACTGGCTGTCAGTCGCTTCGGGCTTTGCTTTGCACCACCGAAATGCAAAGCGTTCCTCCAGGATTGGCAGGGTTCGCCCCCTGTGCTGACCCTTGGTGGGGATCAGCTAGAAGTCGTTCAGAAATTCAATTACCTGGGAAGTTGTATCAGCGCCCTTGGGATCGAAGACGAGATCACGAACCGCATAGCGAAAGCTCGAAGTGCTTTTGCTAACCTTCGCCACCTATGGCGACGGCGCGACATTACTCTCGCCCTGAAGGGTAGAGTGTACAATGCAGCGGTACGTTCGACCTTACTGTACGGTTGCGAAACCTGGCCCCTAAGATCGGCGGACATGAAGAGGCTACTTACGTTCGACCATCGGTGCCTTCGCAGTTTGGCTCACATCTGGTGGGAACACCGCGTGAGTAACGAGCGTGTTCGACGCCTTGTTTACGGCGTAGGAAAAGGGAATGAACCGCTCAGCACCGTCATTTCACTCACCAGGCTCCGATGGCTGGGCCACGTGTTGCGCATGCCAGCCCACCGACTCCCTCGACGTGCGTTGTTTGCTCACCGGGGATGTGGGTGGAAGAAGAGGAGAGGTGGCCAAGCGATGACTTGGTCCAGAGGAATGAAGGCCCTCACTTCGGAGCTGGCCTCAGTTGGAGCTTCACGGCTCCCTGGTTGGGGTCCAAAAGACGGTGAACACGTTTGGCTGGATACACTTGCTGATATGGCAAGGAGCCGACCTCAGTGGCGTTCCTGCTGTGAGTTTCTTTGTCCCTCCCCATCCCTTTAGCCTCCCCCTCCACCTACGATCTTATCTCATAGCGTAAAACATAATAATTTTTGTTTTTGCCTAGTAGCCGGCTAGTAGCTTACCGGAACGATGCGTATCCGTTGCTGGTAGCTCAGCTGACATTCAACTGTCGTATTTATTTTTCCTTTATGTATTGTATGTATGTATGTATTTTCTTTATGTATTGCGGTACAATAGCGGAGGTGTTTTACCATCTCTAGCTGACATGTATAGTGATGATGATGATGATGATACTGGGCAATCAGGGGAAGTGACACGCTACGCTGTATAGAAGATGCACCGTTTGTTGTACACTTGTCAGCAGAAGTGCACTGCTGTTTGAGTGGCGCTTGCATCTAACCAATCGCAGATATTTTGATGTCTAGAGGACTTTAGCACCATGTCAACTGGTTCATCCTTATCATGAATGCCATTTTGTATTTCTAAGGCTCGGTTGTACACTTAGATTCACTTCTGAGTCTCAAGACATGCCTGTCCGTTTAGCATCTAGGCAGAAGGTAGATATTGATTAGATGGGGAAAATGGGCACAAACATTCGTTGGAATTAAACTTCCGTTTAAATTTATATCTGAATTCTGGCACAGTAGATTTATTTACTTCTAATCAGTCATTGGAATGCAGGTGTTTTACAGACCAATTTACCCGAAAAGCTGCGAGTTTCGCGAACGATATCTTGCGCTAATACATGTGCGCAACTTATACTATTTGATAGCAGTCTTTTTCGTGATAGAACTATGTCGGCAGTCAAAGTAAAATAGCATTTCGTCAAAGAAAAACCCAAAGAACAACTTAATCTCTGGTTATGAAAACTACACCATATTTAAATAGCATTTACATTAAGTATCCTCTTGCTTGGCTAAATCAGTTCATTTTGAACTTTTAGTAATTGTTCACTAAGGCCTCCATTAGGTTCCTCGCAGCAATCTGATTCTGACATGTAAGGAAAATATTCATCCAAAAATCCTACATATCTACCTCGAATCCCCTGCATAAGACGGTTTCTAACTACGAATCATCCCGTTTGTGTTCACATATTAAATCAGGTGGATACAAAGGATCTGGTTTAGCCATGATGGTTGAAATCTTCTGCGGCATTTTGGCGGGTGCAAGCTATGGACCAAACGTCCGTACCTGGATGAATGCAGATAGACCTGCAAATCTGGTAAGTCAGAAGATCAAGCGAACGATGAAATCACTTGAATGACCTTAATGTTTGCAGCACGACTCCACTGCATTAATCCTAAAATTTCACTAGGGCTCTAAATGATGCTGTTACTTTTGTACCACCGACTTGAAATAAACGATGTTCACCTTACACTGGCTTTCGTGATGCTTCGAATTGTAATGACTATTCGTACTATACTTCTCTCGCTTCATACCCTCTAAGCTGTCTCCGCGAATTATGTGGTTATTTCCGAGCTGTCCATCATTAACATACGAATTGCTCAAAAATTTGATGGTCGTAAAGGCTACTACGAATTGTAGCCCATCAAAATATTTAAAATACTGTTTGGTCCAAAGCGATTTTTGCATAGCAGATCCGTAGAAATTGTGTGATATTCAACCTTGCTTATGTCTGGCAACATACACCTGTATCAATCAAATGCGTACGGTTACCTTCTTTTCTCTGGTATGAACATAGTTTTCCTATTTATAAGACGAAATAATGCGCTCTATTTAGATACATCCGTTGTTATTAACATCCCCTGTTTGCAGGGTACGTGGGCCGAGGAACAATTGATGCGCACTTGTTTTGTTTTCCAGCTCCATTGTTGCAGTCATCAACAAGATCACCATCATGAATCACAAATCTGATGCAACTGTAATTGTATAAAATAATGTCTTTTATTCCCACAGCCAATAAACTGCAGCCAGTTTAATGTTCTTAGTAACTCTAATGGTTCTTTGTGTGCCGGAGGCCATGCGACAGTCAGATATTTTCCCATCATGTGCACATTGCATTGTAACTTCCTGCATCGCGTGCGCAGCGTTATAATCCCAGCGAAATCTGCGTAAGTCAACACTCAACTAATTTATGTCTCAGTAAAATGTGACTGAAATTATATATCGGGCCTAAATACCTATATGAATGTCTGTCTCCCGGGAACCTTATCTTAGCAATTACGTCCGACTATATCTACTGAATTGCTCGGTTCACCAACCCCAGCTATGTACCAGTTTTGTGAAACAAGGCGTCCCCATATTGTTGGTCCACCACCAACCTAAGATCATGCATAAGCGTTCCTTCAGTTTACTATATAATATGCCACTGTTACCTGTAACTCCAAAAAAACAAATAGTCCATAACATATACCGTTTTGGATTATTAAGCTAAGTGATAAACCTTTATTCCAACCACTTGGTTTACCTTCGAGCCGGCGCGCTTTCAACTCTTAGCATCTGTGATATCGACTCGTAGACTTGACGAGCCTATTATTGCATCATGAGCGAAATCATCGACACATATGGCGGAAGGGCAATAAGTTTCAAAATACACAAACCTTTGCTTTTTACAACAAAATAAGCATTACCTCTTCTCTACGTACTCTCTACCAACGTTCATACACCCTTCCTCGCGCTCAAACCGTTTAGAGAAGCAGCTAGACCATACCGAAGCGGGTATCCTTCAAGCCGTTTAATAACGGTCCATATTTCAGCGGATTCCACACATCATGTGCTTGACATTTGGTTACATAAATGCAACACGGAGCCACGTCTGCACTGTATGGTGGGTAACTAACCTGGAAGCGTTCTCTAGCCAGAAAATCTAGGACAAATCGGGACTTATGTGCAGGTGCCTTGTCATGGTGCACCAAAATTCTTCGTGCATGAGTCCTTGGACGAGACCTGGCTACAGCTTCCAGCCCTTGTGGCAGACAGTGGGGTGCAATACCTTTCTCCGGTGACTTTGCGTTACCGAACGAGCGATGTGGAAGCCACAGTCCCGGTCTTGGCCACACTGCACTCACGCCGGAATCTCTGAAACCGAGCCCCACCAATAGCCTTCCAATGAACCGATTGTTGTTTGGTCTGAGTCGGAACACTACACCTAGGTCTCATCATCACTGAGGATCTCCCAAGCAGCACTGGAAGGTCCACCATGAAACCTGACCAACATGGTGACGTACCAATCCACCCGAGCTGCTTTATGATCCTCAATGAGTTGATGGGTACCTAGTGTGAGCAAACGTTTCTGAGGCCGAGGTTCTCGTGTAGGATGGTACTGATTCATCCCGATGAGATCCTGATGTCTTTCCTCAGGTGTACCATAGTCATCCTTCGCGTCCTCCTCCAACATCGCTTGCGCAGCAGCAATGTTGTCTGCAGTGGTGGACTCCACAGGTCGACCATACCGTGCCTAGTTATCCAGGGACCGCTTGTCACACTTTAATTCCGCAAACCATTCAAACACAGTAGTTCTTGATGGCGCATTATGACCAAACACAGTACGCAATCGGTCAACACTCGGGTGCTGATTTGAACCACATTTGTAATCATAGAAACTCGTCACCTTCCAGTGACTGAGTTCTATACTTACAGTCAAAGTATAGTGATCATTATGGCTTGTGAGCTGCGCTGGGCTGCTGATATAGGGTTTTGTGTGTTGGAATCGCAGAACAATGTTCAGATTGGATTACTGTTCGTAATTTTCTTGCCAGGTCATCTGTAGCAATTCTGTGTACTGGGGATCCGGAAACTAATGGCTGTACCCTCGTAAATGGGTTATTCGAAAAGTAATGTCAGTGATCCGATTAAAAAACACTTATGAATCCTATCGGTACAACACGTCAAAAGATTTCAAAATAGGTTCTACCTGCATAAACACGCCGCTTTTAGCGAGGTTTTCATGCATCGAAAGCGTCGTGGTATTCCTTCTCTGGAATACGTTTAAGAGTCTTGGTACAAGTTACTTTGACTTTGTCCACTGCCTCGTAATGATGTCCTTTCAATAGCGTTTTCAAGCAGAACAACAGGAAGTCTGGGGGAAACAAGTCATGATAGTATGGCGGATGGGGAATCCTTTGCACGGTTGAATAGACCGGGAAGCGGACCTCGAGGAAGATGATATCATTCAGTGCGTTGTCATGGTGAAGCCTCCCCGTTGTCCGCCATTCCGGACCGGAAGAACTGAACCAAACGCTGGAGTCTATTGAGCACTTCCACTTAGAACTGGGAGTTTGCGGTGACACCATGTGGTGCAAAATCATAGTGGATGAGTCACGTAATGTCAAAAAGCATAATGAGCATGGTCCTGACCGTTGACTTGCTCATTCCGACCTTCTTACGGTGAGGGGATCCCGATATGCGCAACTCGGAACTTTGCTGTTCTGTTTCGGGGTCGTACTCAAAGATACAAGATTCATTCATTTGGATGACATTGTCTAAACATTTTGGGCACTTTCACACAAGTCTCATAGATCCTAGCAGGTTTCAACTCGGCAGGATTTGTGGTCGTCACTTAACACTGGACGCTAGTTTCGTGCACACTTCCCATGTGCAGATTGCTTGCAACAATCTAATAAACGGTAATCTTTGGAATGTTTACTGTTTGTGCTATTAAACGAACACAAACGACGGTCTGAGTTTAACAGATCAATCACACTTGTAACATTTTCTTAGATGGTTTTGCATGGTCTTATACCGCTGGCATAATCGCTGACTTCTTCACCACTTACCAAACCTTATGTCACCGGTAGACTTGACGTTCCGATAAACAGTCCGCATCAAAAGCCGTCTTTATCATGGGAGAAATTTCCACTGCGGACATGCTGAGTTTCATACAAAAATTGATAGCTATCCTTCGCTCCATCGAGCGTTGCATCGCGACCTGCACTGGAGGGGAAATCGACTTACGCTGCATGGTCTGCATGGTCGCAGAAGACTGTGGGATTGTAGGTGCATAAACTGAATTCTCTCTCCGCCGACTCAGCCGACTCGGGCACGTTGTAACGTTTATTGACTTCACAGTGAATTCACCGACTACTTTCCGGACAAACCATGTTTGTTGATCTTCTGGAAACAACAACTGTCGTATTTAAGTCATCTACTTTACTCGTTCTCTAGCACTAGCTAAGGAATTCCAAGCACAGTCGATCAACTAGCTGCTGTCTAAATTTTCATCTACATCCCTTACATCAAATTGCAATAGACGAGGAAAGTTACATTTATTGTAACTTGTGTCATCGTTCAGCATGAAGTAAGTTCGCTTTTCTAGTTCGTGATGCGTTTTTAGCCTGCTAGCTTACTTATGAGAAATGTTCAGATTTCCCCTATATCCAACCCTAGGAGGTCAACGGTTATAAGCATGTTAGATTGTTGACTTTCATAGCCACACAAAGCCGCCAAAAGTATAAAAATCGAAAATATAGCCTGAACAGCTTCTTCATCTGAACCCCAAACCGTCCATGTCTTCATTTGGTACATCACCACGACGGATTCTTTCCGGGGTGGAAATAAGAATATATAGCCATTGAGAAAAAGAAATAGTTCCAGTTACAAACTGTTTTCGTCCCTAAAAACTGTTTAGTTCGTAATCGATTGGCATCTACGAACACGACCACACCATTATCTAATTTATGTATGACATGATATGGCTATGCTGCAGAAACAGCGGGAGCACATGTGACAAGCATACATTTGTTCAACAGAATTAGTATAGACTTGAAAATTACCGGATAGAAGACTCAATTATTTTAATTCATAGCGTTCTCTTTTTCACTACTGACAGCAGAATTTGTGCTGGGTAGGCTAGTCATATTCTGAAGGCGTAGTAGCATCCCTTGTACACACGTTACAGTATTAACGCGGTCTCATTACTCTTGCTATAACTGTTAGGTTGTGATCTTCCACGCACTTGCTCTTGAATTGTCTTCCCACTGCCTCCGTGTGAAATTGAACAGCCGTTTACCCTGCGTGGACATGCGTTGTGACCCAGACCATTTACTTATCTATTCTCTCGCATCAGCGTGCCGGTCCGCAGCATTAAAGATAACAATCCTGCCTTGTAATCCGAGGGCGCTGCTTCTAGCCTGCGTAGGGACCGGGCCTTCCTAGCAGTATCCTTAGCCCACATGCAGCTGGTGGTGGTTCAGCGACAGCGAACGGTCGGTACTGCCTACAGGCGTACTGCTGATACCTTCTGCCTTCTATCGGCTTTCTTAGTATGCACATGTGCAGATTTTCCGCAGATGACATTGATTGCTTTGCCTGGTTATGCCCGTTAAATTATAGGTTATCGGTTATATCCGTGGATTCAAGTTGAACAACCCCGGGGAATATGACCTCTTGGGTCTTTCAAGTCTTTTCCTCGCTCACCACTTTATTTAATCAACTTGGATCGAGAATAATCTAGAGAAAGTATATCATGATTACCTTCAGGTGATTTCCGTTTTATACCTATCTTCTGTGCCAGAACATGATGGTGTCATCCGGTTAAAGCGAATCCTGTTGAAAGCTGACTATCAGCACATAATCGGGCAATGGTAATTCATCTGTGGGTCATTATTAGTGTTTTAGATGTCAATGTACATTGCGACTTTTGTCAAACTTAGAAATTCGTGTAAAAATCTTTATTTGGCATAAAGTAGCCTTATTTGGTAAAATAATGTTTTATTGTTCCACTATGCGCTGCGCTTCATTTAATTCTCAGGGACAAGGATTTGTTGCCATCGACCCGAACGCATTTGCTCCGGACTTCGAAAGCCGCATGTCTGACTACATGAAGACGATACGTCAGTTGCCCAGAGTGAGTATTCTACTTTGTATACGTTTAGAAACCGCGACCACTTGAAACACATGCAGTTAGGTCTGATTAAGCCATACCTTTCCGAACTGCATCCCGAGGTCGACTATCCTGAGGACATGTTCATGCTTAACTTTTGCAAGACCGGATGCGGTAAATTAAGACAGCATAAGCAACATGATACTTTCGTTGGCTGGCATTTTGAAGAAAAGCGCTTTTCATGGGGCTACCATTTAATCAATCTACTTTAAATTCTATTCCAATGGAAATCATGGCTGCCGCAAATTAGGAAGTATTGGATTATGTTTGGTATGTAGGCCAGTTTTTCAGCAATTTGACCCAACTCAATGCCCGTCGGCATTTCGTGTTAGTCTGTACTTGAAAGCAGAGGTAGCCAGAACTCGATCAAAATGTTTGTGAATTCATTTAACTCGCTGCGCCTTAAACACCAGAGCGCAAGCCGTCATTTTCTAGTACCACGCTGATCGTATCAACAAACACGGACAATGACTTGCAAAAGTGCAGAGAAAATCGCAGTTGGGCGATAATTTAATGAATACAGAACTAATACAAATATTTACCACCTAGAGTGATCATTAAGCAGTTTTCATTGTAAATTACAATTACAACTAAGCGAATATTAGACGTTTAGTTAGTTAGGAACGATTCAGTGCATACCATTTTCGAATATCATGCACACATGTTAATTTCCCTTATGCACACAAGTAACAAGGCAGGTTAAAACCCGGCCCCTATTCCCCATATTTGGTTTGCCAGGTTATCGAGGCATCAAACATGCCACGAACATGTTCCTTAACGGAAACATCTCGTGACGTCTTTACTTTTGGTTACCTTAAGTAACTGTAACAGTCGATTAACTTTTCGTTTTTACTAGTGATGAAAATCAATCCACGCGCGTGCCAGTCACACAAAAGCTAGAGAACTGGTTGGTGTACTTTTCTTTTCTCTAGGTCAACGACTCATTACCTCCATTAGTGCCAGGTGATCCAGAGAGGGCGCACATCAGTGAATGTGAACATATGGGCGGCATTCGTTATCCTCCAGTTCTGATTGAGAGTATGGTAAGTCGCTAAAAGTCTGCGGGCGATACAATTTACCCTTTTCGCTTAGGAGTATTGTGGCATCAATCATTCAGTGGATACCATAAATTATTCGAATAGATCTGGTGAGACAAATGAATCGTTGACCTCCAGTGATGGAATTTTTCACCAACTTTCAAACCGAAGCCACCACTTCGTTATCGATGAATTAGATTTAATAAATGATGATATTTTCCTGAGCACCAGAGCTGTGCGTCTCTTCTTTAATAATAGTTCCTCTCCCGTTTTAAACTCTGACGACACCTTTCCTAGCTAAACGATTATTTGTAATGTCATTACTCATACATTAAACTCTAAAGATTCAGAAAAATACAACGAGCAATATGAATGTAGTCGGTAATGGTTCTCTCTCCCATTGACAATAATGCATTATAATTAAAGTAATGAGCTTTCAAAGCGTTGTGGAGCGATAAGTAAAATCTTACTTTGCCACCAACCAAACCTTATTTTGTGCGCGCCTAATTGAACCCTTCATATTACCTTCTCTTTTCTACACATCAGCATCGCTTGGCTGACCGTTTAAAGGTGGAGAAACTGCCAATACTGAAGGAACTGTGAGCGGCGATATAATCTGCTTCAATCTCTAAGGTATTATCATTGTGGGCCTGTCGTTCATCTGTTCGGTTATCGTTATAGACTTGCCTGTTCTGGCTTACACAGCAATTTGCAGAATGTGTTATGATTGGGAAATAACTACAAATGCCTCACCCTATATCTCCAGGTGCTATTATTCGGCGGGACATTAGTGAATTAGTAAATGTTGTTATTGGTGCAAAATTACAGTGACATGCTTAATATAAACTCGGAAATCGGATCACACGATCGATATTAAATTTTATTTCGGATTGCAGCCTTATCTGAAAATGCTAGCGTATCAGAGAAGAGGCCTTGAATCTCGTAGTAAAATTTCAGCCAAAAAAGTGTAAACCAGAGTGTTCTTACTACTGAGTTCCAGTGGACCCCAGTTTGAGGATAATAAGTATAATAAGCACAAGTATCGAAAACACTGAAGACATTGGGCTTAGCACAATCAATGACAGGTACTATCGCAGTGAATCTCCTTTTCTGAGCATATGTCTTCTATTTCTTGGGCTGTATTTTTCTTTTCCAGCTGCTTTGTATCCGTCTCCCTGCGGCAGAGATTGGATATTTAGTTGGGGTAGCCGAACAAAGGTAGACTAGGGGCCTACTATCCAGCACCTACAGTTGCCACGTTGCAGCTAAACGCCATCTACTAGAAAATTGACGGTTGTCACAGAGAAGATGTTGTCTAACAAGATAGCAGTGCAAGCTTCCACCACAACATAATATGAGTGAACTTCCAAGTCACAAAGGATATCTAACCTTTGTACCATTCTACCTTACACAAAAGTAGCTATTGCAGATTCACTGAGGGACCAAGATTTTCTTCAATGTCAACCAGTTCCTATTTCTTAGGGGTCGTAAAAGCCAAGACAAACAGACACACTGTTGTATGCTCATAGGCACTTCCTCTAAGATAGGCATTCAGTGTTGTGTTGCTTACGGCTATCCATGTACCGATGTCGTTTGATTCCAGCAACTAGATTCGTAACATAGCCATCTTGAAGCCATTTTTGTTGACCTGATTTGCGACATAAACATGTTGTCTAACACTCTCGTTTACTGGTTCATGTCTGGGTACTTGGAATTACATTGATTGTTGACGTTATGCCACCCACGATCTATAAACTTGCATACTATAGTTCGCAGAGATGTGATAAACTGTAGAGCTATCGTGAGATCCGTATTTGTGTATACTATCGTCTTTTCGAATGTGTGCACCAGGTTGCTATAGAACTCACCCAAATACGTGTTGTGGTTTCACTTGTAGTATATATTGAAGAAGCATATTACGTGGCACATACCTATCTAACACGGCCAAAGCACAATTTGACACCCACTCTAACGACTCACGCTAGGGAGCTTAACGTTAAGGATTGCAAATCAGTGAAAGTATGATAGGCACCACTAGTCGTTTGTCTTGAAGGCTCTCCTACTCAGAACTTGGTAGAGCCAGTGTCCTCGAGCGTATGCCAATGACCGAACATCACGCGGTCATAATATTGCTTTTACAACGGATAGTTGCGTTTCACAAAAGGACCTACGGGGTCCGCGTTACAGCAACTCACATGTCTCTAGAGAACTTAGTAGGGCAAAGTGAAAATGTGAGACAATGACAACCTGTCACGATGATACCACCAAAACGAGAAGTGACCTGGCGAAAGCACCTGAAAAACAGGAATGAGTAGCAGCCTGACCTGAGAACAGGACTGTTTTTATGCCTGAAGTGCACGACAACACCATTGCTGTCGAACAGGTCAGTTCATTTAATATTGGGTTGCTGACTTTCCACAAAATACAATCAGCTTTTGTCATTCTGTGTAGTAGTTAATGGTTCGAATGACACCCTGTCATCCACCCCCTCGACTTAAAGATGGCAACATTCTACACTGCATAACAATACGTTTTATGATAGATTCAGAGAGACGTTTATCTACATGCACCTTCAAACGTTTACTATACTCCAATGGGCAGCCCCAATTCTTCGCTTGCCATCCGCCACCATGTTCTCCAGCGGCATAACCTCGGCACTTTTGTCAAGGAATATCACTTTATACTAACGTCCGCATCCCTTTATACGGCTTCCACATATGACCATAAAAGATCAAGAAATGATCCATCTACTCGATTATGTTCTTCACTGGTGCCAGTGTAAAGTGACATCGAGTAGAATCCAGCTGTTTCGTCGTAGCATGCCACCTACACCCACAACCGCAGAAATTAACCAATTTCGCGTGTCCTATTTCGTTATTTTGCCTTCAATCCTTCATCCGATATATTTGCACGCCATTCTCCGGAACGAAACTTTTTACAACTTTTAGGATTCTTAAAACCCCTCACTTTCTTTGCATCAGCGGCCATATGTGATTTTCATTTGGATGTTCCGAGTTACCAATTGTTTTAGAGGGCACGTTTGTGCAAACGTGCCCGTGGCGACACCAGTAACATACGTCACGGCTTAACAACAATCCAGCTGACTAATTGGACTTCAGTCCAATGTAGTTGACCATTCGGTCCTACGGTCTTCCACTGGGCTTCATTTGAAGACATTCTGATGCCATCCACAATAATTCTCAACAGTTACTGTCTACCATTAATGCTGCTTCCATGACTCAACGCCAGCAAAAGCACAAAAGGTGGACTTGCAAAAAATGATTAAATGTTTCTGTATCCATGATCGGACTCAACCCGCTAGGCAAAATGTCAGGTAAACAATATCTTAGACCTGGATTTTACCATACGTATTCCATCTGTTTACGCAATCGATGGTGGTGTCCTTCTACAAAGAATTTAAACTACATGAAGCCAGGCTTTGTTGACCGGAGCATTTTTGGCAAAAGGATTGGCACCATGTTCTTGGACCGATTCCCCTCCACACTTGATTTACCTGGGGCGGCAAACGAGTTTACAAAAATAATTGTATCACAAGTACCGACGTTCGATACTTTTTTGCTGTCAATTGAGTCTATAGCGCTTTGGAATTCTTTCTTAAATAGTCATTTCCCCACATCTATCTCTCAAGCCGGACCTTAGCGCCATTGGTTTGGCTCCATAGAGTGAGAACCACCCCGAATGCTGCTGTTTGATGAGTGGCCGATTCGAAACCAACCAATTTTTTCCCGCTTTTGTGCTCCTTTTATACTATCTGATGCTTCGGGATTGGTAACTCAAAGAACAGTACGTATTTTTAAGCGTTTGCCCCAGTTGCATGCAATTTTGCAGCGATGAGAACTATCTTGAGAGATCTATTGAGGTATACGATTTGCTTAAGGTGGAATTTACAATTAACAAGGTGGAGTTATACGAATGTAAGTATTACTAACGGTTTCACCATGGGTAGTTTATTAGGACGATTGATTCCCCTCATTTTCATAAATATTTATGTGATTACATAAGGCGTGCTGCCCTGCTTTATTTGAGGGCACCATCAAAGTAATATACTCACTACGCCTTACCACATAGGACTATACACAATTATTGTGAGAGAAGATCTATCACCCTTTAACAAATAGAACGAAGACAGGTTTATGTGCAGACATATCTCGGAAAATTCTCCACAGGTGCTGTATACCAGGTTGCTCACCATTCTTAATGGTGCCCCCGTCCCGACCGCGTATTCCTTTCGAGATCTAGGCATATGATATTCTGATAACTTCACTTAATTTGAACATATTCCACACCAAGTAGCGAAAGCGAAACAACCAACAAGGTATATCACCTAGTTGTTTTCATTGTCCCAAACAGGACTAAAATTATTCAGTCATAATGTGACCTGCACTAGAGTATCGCACTGACATATAATGCTACGTAGGAAAAAGAGATATAATTCCTCTGGACAGCATCCGTCGCTGTTTAAGAGAAATTATCGTAAGACGCTACTCAGCGCCTAGATACGAGGAACGACGTTTCGATTTTTACTACGGCTTCGACGACTTAAATGCAGTCTCACTCTTGTCTACAGTAACATACATTTGCAAGTCTTCACAATCGGTGCGGCTTTTGTACTACAAATGGGTTCAATCCAGTTTACTCGTCAGAGAAAGCACCTGTTATCCTTACAGACGATCATTCAAAACTTTGGCACGTTTTCCTTGATGAGGCTCGTCATTCTATGGAATAAAATACGGATGCAACTAAGAACAAGCGATATGCTTTCTTTGGATTTCATCACATTTCTTTTTATATGAACCGTATTCAAACATATCGCCTTCAGAGAACAATTTCTGTCAGGGAATCCAGCTCAAAAATGACTGACAAAGCTGACGCTCCAGTCTGTTAATTGTTACATATTTTACGAAACATCGCATCAACGATCTATTTTAAGTTAACATTTCACGAACGAATTTCGTTACTCCCCAAATGGGGATCATTCTGCCTGTCAGAACATATAGCCATTTGGTTATGGTTGAGTCCTGGAATATCCGCCGTTTGTCTGGATTGCAACAAGCAATCTCGACTGAGACCACGGTTTTATTTGAACCTAATTTCCGTCATTTTGACCACTGGGATCTCATCCGATGTGGTGTGGTTCAGAGCTGATTTATCCCAACACCGCACTCCACGACGCGCCTCGTCCTGACTACGACTCGTGGAGTAGAGATATCTTGAGTTGAGAGCGGATCACTACAAAGTGCTTGACGGCTTTCTTCTTGGTCACTAAGTCAGAGCTCCGCGAGCAGCGCTTAGCTTCATGCTTAAAATATCAGTATTGTGTCATGGAATACCGGCCGGGTGCCTGAATTGCGATACGCAGTCTCGACTAAGACCACTTTTTGCTTTGAAGCAATTGCAACGTTCAAAGAAGAGCTTCTAAACTACCAGTTAAATTTTTAATTAACGAGTCACGCGATTAGTGCCAGCAGTTTGGTACACCGCTGCTCATATGTTTCTGCAATTGTAGAGGCACAACCAGCAATAGCTCGCTGACCACTCACAAGCCCTGTTGCTAGGTGACTCGTCACATCGCACTGAAACCATTCTTGTTCATGACTAATGGTTCAAACTAC